CTAATTTATAACGATAGTTTTAGTCAGTGGCTAAATTGTAGCGATTTATGAGCTTTGAAAGTCAAGCGAGCTTGGTATTTGATCAAATTACACAATATTACTAACAAATTATAAACATAGACATACCTTTCGCCGAACATAACTTCGGCCCCTTGAGACGCAAGCTCATTCTGGTAGTCTTGCTGAATGAAGCAGTTAAAAATAACACGTATACTGTTATTTTCAAGCTTCTATCTTTAAAATATGAGTTTTCTTGCCGAATTTTACATTTCTGCCCCGAATTTGCGTTAATCCCAACCGGAAATACGACGAAAAACCGTCAAAACAATGCGAAGTTTGTATCGCGTGACTCTGGAAATGCCAGAAATGGATTCTACAGGTCAAAGTGCACCCATACGCGTGCGTTTGACGTCATCCCGGCTAAAGGGAGCTCCTTATTGGCCAAGTATTACGTAATACAATTGCGTGCGAGTAAAACCCGATACCTTGAAAAATTCAAAATAAATATTTCTACTCGCCGTATTCATACGAAACTTTCTATACGAAAGCGCTTGAATACAAAGAGTATTTTACACATATATCCTTTCAGAAAATGACACCAAAGTTTAGAATTTATTCAACTTTTTCTCTTTCTCGTTTGAATGTTTGGCGAAGCGGTGAGTATAAATATATGATTGTTTCGGTTTGTGTAATGTTTTGACGGCACTTGACCCCCCGTTCGAAAGGTTATATTGTGAGGATTTCAATGGTGTTAAATGTCAAATGCTTTAATTTGTTAAAACATTAAAAACAAGTTTCCACATGACAAGTTAGTGTATGTGGGCGCGGGAAGTGATGGTCAGCGGTGATGGCATCATGGCTGACTATGGTAATGAAATATATAAAATCTATACATAGGTCTTCTGACTGGCCAACAGCTAAGAGCTAAATACGGAAAGTAATTTAAGTCATTCCAAGTTAACCACAAATATTTGGACCATACCATTCGGTTGAAGAGAATCCTGTTGAATAACATTTCAAATTATGATAAGGATGACACTTGTTTTTTTTTCAATTTTCGTTGTAAGTTTTGTAATACCGTGGATTGCAACTAAGCGGAAACACGTCATAAGAAAACGCGATCTAATTGGAAATGAAACATAGCATGTTTGGACTTCAAACTTTACATGATTTTGCTGGAAACATTTGACGGTTTACAATTATTTTTCCCGCGAAAACGTAACAAAGTTAGTACAAACTTTGCAAACAATACTGAATTTGTCCACTATAAACGCAAAACTCACAGACTTACGATATGTTAGAACTTCACTAAGGCCTGTTTCATACGTCGAATTTAATTCAGACGAACTAGTTAATCACGGATTTAGGGAAAATACATTCATTATGCCGAGGGGGGCGGGATGAGGCTTTAAAGGGGGGGGGGCTCTGAAAGTTCTCGATGTGCTGAAGGGGGGGGGGGCTATAAACTTTTCAAAGTTTTGTTCCAGCAGGGGCCTGGAATAGATGGTTTGGAAACTCATTAGAATAGCAATATAACTCATTATCTATGTTAGTGAACAAGAACATTCATAAGTCTGGTCTTTTACCGTCTTTAATCTTTAATCTTCAATAAAATTTCTTTTAACACGGTAGCCTATTCAGTATAATATATACAGTCTGTTATTCAAAGGGCCGTGCTATATAGTATTAAACACACATTAACTATGGATATTTACAGTTAATTACAGCACATAATTATTACACACTCCATTAATTTCGGAAATGCATTATTCATGTGCAAGCTTAAGGGTTAAACGCCGTTTGAAATCGGGTAAAAATAAACTCTGAATGTTATTAGTTACTTCATCCGATAATTCGTTCCACCCTTGCGCTGCTCTATAAGAGAAACTTCTTTTAAGAAAGTTAGTTCTTGGTTTAGGCAAAGATAGTTTAATATTATTGCTTCTTAGAGAATAATTACTATTTTCGCATCTCGTGAAGAAATTCTGCACATAATCAGGTAGTCTGTTAGTTAAAGCTTTAAACGTCATAATGATTTCTCTTTTAATTTCTTTAAAATGTCTTCATTAATTGGTATCCAATTGAGACTTTCTAGTATTTGAGTGGAACGAACATCGTATGATTGTCCTGTGATGACCCGAGCTGCTCTTCTTTGTAACTTAGAGAGTTTGTTAAGAATGGTATTAGATCCGTCATTCCATATTGTTGAGCAATATGTCAGGTGAGGAAATACTAGAGCATTATACATTTTGATTAGAATGTGTAAAGGAACAAAGGACTTGGCTCTCCTTAGTAATGCAATATTTTTTGAGATATTTTTACATTGTGCGTCAATGTGTATACCCCACTTTAATTGATAGTCGATGATAAAATCAAGAGACTTTTTGTTGGTGACCCGTTTAATATTATTATCTCGTATGGCTAATGAAATCTCTGGGTTGTCTTCAAATTTAGTAAGATGATGTCTAGAGCCAATTATCATAAATTCCGTTTTGCTATCGTTTAGCGTGAGTTTGTTAAATCTAAGCCAACTATGAACATTCTCAAGATTTTTAAGTTTAGTCTCGAGCTCGATTTCATTGGCATTGATTAAGCCACTGGCCATGTTATATAACCACTCATTTGTCGAACCTAAGAGTGCCGTCTCAGTAGAGTGTTGTCAGGGACGCCGGAACGATGTAAAGGCAAGGGGGGCAGATTTTTGTGAAAGGGCACTTTTGAATGGATATATACTAAGAGATGTTTGCAAAACATCGGGAGTTGAACTTCGCCTAATCATGTTTTCTATTTATTGGATGATAGAGGTGTGAGGGGGTTCTCCGCCAGGCGATTGTGCCATTCTTGAAGCTCGATGACTGCATTTCTTGCGTTTTCTGAAGCAATTTCGTAAAACAATTGCACTAACACTTCTGACAATTCGCTATTTTGCTAAGGCAATACTTTAAATTGAAAGGGCACCTTTGCCCCCCTTGCCCCTCCTGGTAAAGGGCAACAGGGGCGGCTGCCCCTCCTGCCCCCCCCCCCCAGTTCCGGCGTCCCTGAGTGTTGTGAACGAAAACCGGACTGTTGCTCTACAAGAATGTTATTGTCGGCAATAAACGTTCTCAATTGATTGTATACAAGCCCTTCAAACAGCTTAGCAACCACAGAAATTATAGAGATTGGTCTATAATTCCCGCAATCAGTTTTATTCCCTTTTTTAAAGACTGGTGATACCTTGGCGATTTTCCACTTAAAAATTGCAGTCTGAAGGGATAGATTAAATATGTTGGGTAATGGTTGGGCGATAACATCGCTTGTATCTTTTAATAGTTTTACACATATGCCGTCCAGTCCTGGTGATTTCCTTGAATTAAGTTGGTTTAAAGCGTCAAAAGTCTCCTGGACTGAAATACATGAAAAGTGAAACGAACTCTCCGTAGGAGTGACAAATGTCATAGGGTCAATTTTAATATTTTGGACATTTTTCGACAGTTTACAACCGATGGATGAAAAATACTGATTAAAACAGTCCGCAATATTTGTGTCTCCAGTTATAACTTGGTCATCTACATTTAAGCCTGGTTCACATTGATCGTAAACATCGGCGATGCCCATTGTCGGTGGTCATTGATGCATGGATAAAATGTTTTGTGCATTTTCTTCTTCGTTGCTCACAGACAATGGATCGTAGAACATCGCCGATCAATGTGAACCAGGCTTTAGCTGTGTTTGTTTAAAAGCTCATTAATAGCCTGCCAACTCTCTTTGCTATTATTTGCATTAGATAACTTCGTTTTAAAGTATTCTTCCTTAGTCTTTTTAATAAGCTTATTTAATTTATTCTTGCATCTTTTGTAGGCCTCGTTATAATTACTCTTAAAACACTCTGTCTTTTAAGATAATCCCTATGGTGCATTAAACGCTTTATTTCTTTCGTCAGCCATGGTTTATGCTCACTCTTAACGCGACGCTGTCTAACTGGCGCGTGTTTTTCAGCAATAGTAAGAAAGTTGTTCTTAAATTCATTCCATAGCACATTTGGATCATTCGATGTGGAATCTAGATTAGTATAATAGCTTAGCTCTTCTTTAAATTGGTGGGAGTTGTAGTTTTTGAACTGTCGTGTAAATACAATTTTTGGTAGCTCTTTAGGAATGCTAATTTTCCGACATATATAAACAAGACTATGGTCACTAATCCGACGGTGAACAACCCCGGCTTCTAAGGTTTTATCATCGTCGATATGTGTAAGAATTAAATCAACCAGAGACGAAGAATTATAAGTAGTTCTAGTACTAGTAGGGGTTTGTATGTGTTGCTGTAGTTGGAAAATATAAATAATATCAATTAACTTAGAAGTAGCTTGGTTTTGAGTGTGCTCAATAAAATTACAATTAAGATACCCGGTTATGATAATATCTTTGTCTTCATTATCAATCAGCTTCAGGAAGTTTTCGAACTTTTGGAATAATTCAATTTTTGCACTCGGTGGTCGATACCAAGTTGAAATAAGCACTGGTTTACTTTTGGGTTTTCTAACTTCAATACAAAGCAATTCGAGAGTATCTTGTAATAAATCTTCACGTACGATATATGGGATGATAGTCTTTATATATATAGTTACCCTTCCCCATGTCTGTTTCGGTCAGATCTGACAATATCAAAACCAGGTGTCTGTATTTCACAGTCTAGGAAAGTACTATCTAATCTAGTTTCATTTAAGGTCAATATACGTCACGTGTGTATTGTATTTTTTCCCGACTAACCAATAGCGATGTTTTAGGAAAGTTACCTATTTATCACTTAAACAATATAGGGTAAATTGAAAATTGCTATTGGTGGACATGGCGAAAATATAATACACACGTGAAGTGAAGGAACATATTTATGAATAAACGTTGACTAACATAGATAATGAGTTATACAGGGTGTATAAAAAAAGGTAATCGAACTTCAGCGCGCTATTATACGTGAATCACTCGGCGTATGAACAGTTGATTTTCATATTTGGAAAGATCAGACTTTTAGCTATTGAATGACATGCTTTTCATACCAAGTGGGGAAAAATAAGCATGTGCGAGGCCGATCAAAAATGTTAGTCAAAATCGCATATTTTCACCTCTGTGCCTAATTAAAACAATGCATAACAAAAGAAAAAGCAATTAATCACTAACGTGTCGTAGCTTAGCTAAGATTTATTCCTACTTAATAATAATTATGAATATGTGCGTAGTTTAATGAAGTGAAATTCATCAACTTAAGTATCAAAGGGAGTTAATTTACAATGGTTTTAGACCCAACTCTCAACGGTGAAAATATGCGATTCTGACTAACATTTTTTATCTGATTCGTATTTGCTCATTTTTTATCCATTTGGCATGAAGAAGATATCATTCAACAGCTAAAAGCATGATCTTTCCGAATATGTTAAAATCTTGTTCACACGCAGAGTAATTCGGATACAATAACGCGCTGAAGTTCGATTAACTTTTTTTTATACACCCTGTATTGCTTTTCCAATGATTTCCAAACCATCAATACTATATTAACTAGCATGGGAAAGCTCCATGCACACGGAATACTTAAACGAAGGCTGCAACACGCCTGTAAAAAATGCATGCAAAAGCACCAATATCCTTCAACGTTTGAAATTTTCTTTTAAGTACTCAAGGCGCCAAGTTTGTGACGTAATTTACCCGCTAAAAAGTAGCAATTCCAAAAACAAAAAACATGATTTGTATAAAAAACGACATGTTCCATATTCATGGGAAAATGGAACATGTCGTTTTTTATACAAATCGTGTTTTTTGTTTTTGGAATTGCTACTTTTTAGCGGGTAAATTACATCACAAACTTGGCGCCAAGAAATTGAAAATACTAGCTACTGGTGATTTTATGAATCCATTTAGAAGAGCAGACTACTAAGGGTACTTTAAAACTGAAATCTGTTGCTAAATACAACCATTTTATGGGAAGATATAGCGATACAAATGTAGAAAAATCCGCCATATTGTTACTAAAAATAGAACAAAATGGCGGATTTTTAAAAATTTGAGTTAATATATCTTCACAAGGAATGATTTTCAGGGACGTATGGATTTGTCAGGGCTGTGGGGGGGGGGGGGGGGGAGCTGTAACCAACCCCCTACTGTGAAATTCAGGCAAAAATTATGTAAAGTTCAAGTTAAAATTGTTACATTTTCAGGTAAAATTTGGGTAATAAAGTAGTTATTTTTGTGAATTGATAATCATTTTTGTAAAATACAGTCATTTTAACATATTTAACAGCTTTATTATAATTATTCCACATCAGGTAAATTTTTAACATTGAAATTTAAATTTCAGGAAACTCTCCGACATGTCCACCCCCAACTTCAGATGCTTCTCTACGTCCCTGATGGTTGTATTTCGAAACCGATTTCCGTTTGAAGATATCCTTAGGCCTGTTTCATACGTCGAATTTTGATCACGTCGAATGAAGTTTATCATCTCACTATCTATTGTCTTAACTGCATTCGACGCGATCAAAATTCGACGTATAAAACAGGCCTTAGACTGCTCTTCTAAACAGATACATGAAATCATCTATAGCTTATTTTTAATTTTTAGCGCCAGGTTTCTGACATAATTTACCCGCCAAAAAGTAGCAGTTCTAAAAATAAAAACATACTATTTGTACGCTGAATGATGGACAACAACCTGTTGATAATTTCGCCCCTAGAGCCAATCTGAAACGGTTTTTTAAAGACGGTGCTATTTTATCTGGCGATAGTGAGGTGAAAGAAGCAGCAAGTCGGTATTTTTGTTGAGGAGAAGCATGTGCTTGAGAACATCAGACATCTTGAGGAACCGCAATTTGTATCTCGATAAGAGAGAATACCGGATTGTACTCCTTCGATTCCGGATTCTGGGGGGGGGGGGGGGGGGGGGGAGGGGATTGAACATTTTAAAAACTTGGAGGAGGGGCCATCGCAAATTTATGGGGGATGAAGATATCTTTTTCAAGACATCTTCATCCCCCAACCCCTCGGCATAATAAATTTACTTTCCTTTAGTGTTTGCAAGCTAATCCCCGCCCAATATGAATGTGTTTCTAATTTTGGAATATCGACAGTTAAAACGTAAGTGTTTGCAGTAAAATCATGTGATGTT